TAAAGAGGACTGTTAATTTTAATTTTTTGTCTTACACTATCCAGTCCAGATCCACAAATCCCAGTGCATTATTCAGAATCTCTGTCTCTCCACATTTCTTCTCATAAGATGGTTCTCAAACTCAATATTTGATAGCACATCGACTCAGTTTATTTCCTTACTTGGTTTTGTTTTTTATTGGGCTGATACAGAGAATCATAATGAGATTCTACTCATTTTCACACAAAATTCTACTCTCCCAAAATATTGTATTGATAAGAAATCACAGTTCTCAAATAGGCAAATAGATGAACAGCTGAATCAGCTTTGAATAACGCTAGCACATAAGATAATAAACTGTGTTTTCATTATTGCAAGCTGAGGGGTAGGTGTTGGCTATTGATTGCAAGTGAAGATTTACATGTAGAGAAGCGTGGGTGGGAAATATGTTATTATCAGCACCAACCTTCTACCTCCTTTCCTCCCGCATGACCCAAAAGGCCATTAGGCAAAGAGAAAGCATCAAGAGAGAAGATAATCATGCAAATTGTAATGGAATGGCTCAAGGTCTTAAATAAAACACCCTATTTTTTAGGTAAAATTAAAAACAGCCTTGCCTAGATGTGATAAGGTCCCTTCTAGATTCTGGTAATGGTGGTTTCTGTGTGTTCTACAGAGAAAGAGATCCAATACGTCATCTAAAACTATTCATTACATTATAATATCAAATTTTACCTTTGTAGACTGGAAAAAACATTTTCCCGTGGCAGGTTAATACTTTATCAAATTGTTACTAATGGTTTAGGAGGACCACCTTTTGGAGAAGGACAAAGCAGGACTTGATAATGATGAAGTGTTGATTCGAGCTCCTAACAGCTAAGGCACTCTTAAATAACATCTGCAAGAGAACAAAGCAGCTTGTCCCAGTTTTCCACAACAAAAAATCTTTCAAATAGTTGTTATTCACATAGAAATGTATTTGAATAAAGGTCTGAAACTCAGAAATTGCTGTGCCAGATTTGAGGCTCACTGTAGGCTGAGTTTTAGACACCATTGCATTGGAGAAGTCCAGGCCATGGCAGAGGCTCCGCCCCTGGGCTGGCCACCAGGGATTTTACTTATGTGAGAGAACTGAGATGAGAGCTGGTTAGCTTCTCTTCGTTTTACCAGCCATGAAGGTACATGCTCGAGAGTATGCTTTTGTTCTTCCAAAACTTTACAATTCTCGCAGGAAGGAAAGCTTCCATTCTTTCAGAGGAGTCCGAGAGGTATGGTGTGGAGTGACATGGAACCAGAGACCCCCAGGTCTGCCCTTTCTACACCGTCTCTCCATCTCCCCACCCCACTGGGCTCGTGGTGAGATTTCCCGTCGCCCTTCCTCACTTCAGTAGGTGACTGCCTTTTGTAGAGTTCTTCCCAGCACAGGTTTTTATTCCAAGAGACACGGGGAAAGGTGGCTGACCATGAGCCAAAACATCCCCACAGATCTTCAATATACTATTGTGACCCAGCTGTTTCTTTTTACTTTCTCAAAAATCACTTTCTGAGAATGGCTCAATAAAAAAGCATCACAATCCCCATGTGGCTTTATGTGCCGCCTGAAATGAGAGTCTGCTGGCGCTGCCCCCAGGACAGGTCAAGGCTATGCATTTCAGATGAAGTCTCTTTCTTCTTTTCTTTAAACCTAAGCTGTCTGTGAGAAACAGCCCTAGAAGCATCATCCTGAAACATGTGGGTTTGATTTCATTTCCACAGTGTCAACTTCAGCCTCAGTCACACTGTCACAGTGCCTCAACACATACAATTTGGCTCATCCTGAGCATTATACATAGACTGTCAAAACATTCACCAGAGAGAAAGAAGATTTATCAGTTTTTAAAACTTCAATAGGAAAATAAGAATTAATGTCATCAAATTAAAATAATCTCTAACAGTACATGTATTCTGTTGTTCCAGAGTAGAACAGTGAAATGAAATTTGTGTATCTGTCTTTTTAAATTAAGCAGTATTCTGAAAATGATATTAAATTTAAAAATATTGTGGGGGGGTGGATATTGAAAGAAGATATTTAATTGTAAAATGTCAAATAAGGACACAAGGTTTCATTTGTTCATTTCTACCGTTCTTCCAAGGCCACTTGGAAGATCAGATGTTATCTCCAAATCTTCTTAGCCCCAGATACTCCATAGACAATTGAAGCTCACAGTGGGCTTTTTGTCTGAAAGATGGCAATCCTCAGGATGTGACAAGTACTCTTGGAACATTTGCGCTGTAAAGAGATACCTTTGTTTTAATGAGCGGTCGGGTAGCCAGTTGTGATCTCTGCTGCTGAATTGCCGATACTCCGGTGGCATTGTCTGTGCCTCCAGTCCCACCCCCCCAAAATGATACAGATTTGAGTAGTGACGGCGGCTCTAGAAAAATCAGCCAATTCCAGCTGAATCTATGACCTGCACGTGTCGGACGGTGGGACCAACAGAGACCTGGAAGTCCCTCTGGCCTTTCTAGGCATTCAGAAGGAGCTGTCAGTCTACTGACACTTTACGTGGGATGGTCTTTTACAATTTTCTAAGTATGACTATGAGAATGTTATCACATCTTACCTCAGGACCTCCTGGAGAGGTAGGAAAGGTGAATATCATCATACAAATAAGAAAACTGAAATATCAAGACTAAACTGTGAGCTTGTCTAAGGTAAGCAGCAGACAAAAATTCCCCAACTCTCGTCATTTTTCTCTTCCTTCCATAGTTGCAAAAACTAAGAGCACAGTTCAGGCCTGGGTTCCAGTCACTTCTCTGTCACTGTATAGTTGTGTACCCTGAGTAAATTACAACGTCTCTGCAGCTCAGTTTCCTCATCTACAAAATGAGAAGAATGATTTCTGCCCTACCTGCCTACAGAGTAGTTTGTGTGAGGAACACACAGAATGCATAGTGCCTACCTTCTTTGCCCATGCTAGAAAAAGAGGATGTAAAATCCTTACTACCAAAGGGCAGGAAAATTGAGACCACGTGGTAGAAGGAGTGAGGACGGGCAGAGGCCTGAAGTCCTCGCTTATCTTCTAATTAGATATGTTTCTTTTGTCAAATCAATTAGCTTCTTTGTTTCTCAATTTCCACAGCTAGATTTAGCAGGTCTTACCAGAACGTCTTGAATGTATCCTCCGATTCATTCTCTGAGATTTCTGTCCTAGTTTTCTTTCCTGTACATCATGCTACCTCTGAAGCTGCTATTTTCCGTAAAGATGAACAGTTAGACATTTACATGCTGTAAGAAGGCAAGGTTTTGCCAAATCAGTGTAACACATTTGCGGTCCTACTATGATTCTTTTTTTTAAGGATTGTTAGGAGCCCGTAGTAGTCTAATGGAATTAAAGTCACCAGGCAGAGCATAATGAAGAATAGGAGTCAAATTATTTTAGGAGCTACTAGGACACTGCCCGTGGCCTTCTCAGAGGCTCTCACTAAGATCATTAGCCTGTGTGACACCGGACAGGGACAGCTCTCTCAGAAGTGTCCCCTCCTTCCCAGAGATCATTAGTGCCATTCAGCTACAGCCACAGCAGCCAGTGTCAGCCCCTCAAAGAATCAGCTGCTTAATTAGATTTGGAGAACAGAAGGGAAAGGCGAGTTTCCAAGGTAAAAGGCAGGGCAGAGTTTAGGAAAAAGGAAAGCCAGGGCAGAGTGGATGTTTTCGCATGAGCATTTCACTGCAACCTGGCAAGGAGATTTACAAATTTACAACAAAATGGTCTAATCCCATAAAGAGCTAGGAAAAGCGTCTTTTCTGGACTTGAAGAAAGAGAGTCATCTACCGGGAGGGATGGATCATGTTCCCTCAGGCTGCTTCCCTCACCCCAACATGGACTTAGTGGGCTAGGGGCCTAGGCAGAAACAAGCTGGGACTTCTCCAGTCACGGAGGAGATGGAGTCTGGGACACACTGCACCCATACCTGGAGCTTGGAGAAACACACTGTGTCCCAATGGCCACCTGCCCGCCTCAGTCCACTTTGTCTCTAGTTTCCTCACAGGGACCATAGTAGGAGAGCGAACATGGCGAAGAGCATGTCTTTGCTCCTGGCTGGAGAAAATAATTCCTTCTCTGCACCTGTTAACACACCACACACACACACACACACACACACACACACACAGAATAAACTCATTTTGGCCCAACCCTTTACAATTCACAGCGTGCTCCCATGTCTGTTATCTTGATCCCTCCATAACACAGTGAGGAGATGGGATAGATGCCATCCATTTCCCAGATGAAAAAATTGAAGCTCAGAAAATGTAGGCAATTTGCCCAACTTCTGAAAGATAAAGGGGAATTCGGCCTCAAACCTAAGTCTCTTGACAGCAAACCTGGTCCTCTTTCTACCCTTCAGAGGGAATCCAACCTTTGTTCTTCTAAGTAAATCTGAAGGTTTGTATTCAAGGTTTAAAATATGTGGAACAATGTAAGGAGGTAGATCGAAGAGGAAAGAAATACAAAGAAATGGCCTCTGATCTCGAGGTAACTTTTTATAAGTAAATCAGCAAATTGTAAACGTTCAAAGAAAGCAAACGTGCATGTGCGGTGATTCCCCAAAGTGTGCAAGAGGGAAATATGGGTCGGGAATTGTGCTGGTGGGCTGCGGAATGCTGGGAATTAATTTTCTGAAGGAGGGCGGTTTGGAGCTCACTCTCTTGATCCTATTCTCTGAGCATCCACTTGGAGCATCTGTCGAAATCGCAGCAGATGGAGCGCATCAGAAATGTATTTTCTTTTTTATTTTATCCTGAGTTCCTTGGAGAAACCTGGCACCTAGGGTGCTGTGGAGATAAAATAAAAGTTCGTTTTTCTATCATCATTTGTAATATAAAGACAAACACGATTTGTTCCTGGGGAAGGTATTTCATTCTTCTCCCTCCCTGGTGGATTTCATAATTAAGCCTTCCTGAAGTGATAACTAGAAATGAGATTTAAATGTGATCTTTTCTGAATAATGCCCTCCGTTGTTTTGTTTTGTTTTCACAGTGTCAATGGACATCTGATCCCCTGCTGCCTTTGTTTGAAAACCAAGAAGTTTTGTTGTGCTGATTTAACTACCTGCAATTTTTGCTGATGCTCTCATGAAAAAAAATGCTGATTCTGTCCTTTTTGACCCCCGTGTGAAACTTTGACTTTTCATACACTTGTTCATTCTTTTACCCTCCATAAAGATGTCTGAACCTGACTCTTCATCTGTGTTTTCGGGCAATGTGGAAAATGGAACTTTCCTTGAGCTGTTTCCCACATCCCTGTCCACATCGGTGGACCCGTCCTCAGGCCACCTGTCAAATGTCTACATCTATGTGTCCATTTTCCTCAGCCTTCTAGCGTTTCTGCTTCTGCTTTTAATCATTGCCCTCCAGAGGCTCAAAAATATCATCTCCTCCAGTTCCTCCTACCCGGAGTACCCAAGCGACGCCGGAAGTTCTTTCACCAATTTGGAAGTCTGTAGTATTTCCTCTCAAAGGTCCACTTTCTCAAACCTTTCATCGTGAAGAAAATGGAAGAGTCCCTGCAGGCTGCAGAGCTTAGGTTTTCCCTCACAGGAAATGTCACATGAAGCCTTTGCCTCATGAAAGAAATGAGCCTTTTGTTTTTGTCAACTAATTAGGCCTGTTTCTCCTTCTCCTTCACCCCTGATTTTTTTGTTGTTGTTGCTCATGATGCTTTTCATTTGTGAATGTAGAAGCTGATGCTGACAGAAATGCCTGCAAACCTCGAGCTGCAGAATTTCACACAAACCACTGGAATCCGGAGCTGGCTTCTTCAAGCTCGGTCGGTTCATTCCACTCTGTTGGACACCTGAGGCAGAAGTCACCTGAGGGGACCTTGCAGTGGATGGTGGATATGGACTCTGTACTTCATTTCTCTTACAAAACCGTGAAACCGACTCAGCCAGCAGAACCTGGCAAAATTAAGTCTAAACTATTTAGAAGATATTTTCCGTATTTAAAAGATAAAGTGGAAACACCGAATTAAAAAAAGAGTCAATTTAGATTTAATGTGTAACATTTTTAAAACTGGAAGGAAAATATGCTAAATGTTTATTTATTTTCACCTTAAGTGGAAATCACATTTATTGATGAATTAAGTCATATTTGGAAAGGTTTTGGAAGAGTTTAATTTTTCATAGCTAGGCAAATATGTATTATGATGCAGTTTGTAATGTATTTCTGCCTCTTGGGGTTTTTTTCCTACTTATGTTGTAGTCATAAGGCCCCACAGTTGTGGAATTCTTTGTGATAATTGCTGTTACTATTACTAAGAGAAGCACCAGAAGGGACACCGAGATATTTTTATTTTATAGCTATACTTTCCATCAGCAGGAATTAAGCATATGGAAAATATTCATTCAGTTGTGTTTTATACAGTAATAATTCCTAGCAGTCATGCAAGTATGTTCCGTTATTCAGTTTCATAGTCTTTATAATTTTAGTGCAGAATTATATTAACTCTGAGATGTTAGATGTTTGTTCACTCACATTAGGTTGCAAAACTTAGAGACTAAATTGTTAATATACGTGTTGTTATATACTCCATGAATGTTACATGTCGCTGATAATTAGTTGTTGTATGTTAACATAATACTCTGCATAAGGACTCCAGGACACGCGTTTATATTAAAAATTGTAGACACTCAAGTTGTGTGGCTGCTGGGAGCCACCCTACTGTGGTCAGCCACGCACCTCCGAATTCAGGGCCTTTGTCCATGAAATGAGGCAGGCAGTGAGCACAGACATGGAATGTGGAGGAAATCAAGCTGCCTCTAAAAACAAAACAAAGCAAGCAAACTAAGGCTTCTTAAGACTAAGAATTTTAATTTAATTTTAAAAGTAAATGGCCCACAGCATAAACACTGAACTTATTCAGCCTCTGGAGCCCACTCCACCGACATGCCCCTGTCTTCCCATGGCAACCGGCTCTCTCCTCTTCCAAACATTTCCTAAACTTAGGTGGTGGAGCTGCAGTACACCCTCTGGTTCGATCATGTGGCCACATTATCCAGTAACTGGAATGGGGTAAACAATCCACCATCTTACAGGGTATATCTTTGTCATTCTAAACTACTGAGAGAGATGAGGACTGGTAATGAGGATCAGAAGGTTTCTTTTTGTTAATCCATAAGTCTCACTTAAATCACACCACACTGGACTATTTATATATCAAAAATGTCCGCAAACACCATAGACCTGCACAGAGTTGCTGCCCTAAAATGGATAATTAGTGAAAAATTTGCCTCTGCTGCCATTAAAGAGTGGCAGTGTTATCAGGGGACTGTTAGTTACCGTGCAGTATAAATCCTGGACTAGAAGAGCTCTCCTGTTTTAGATCATTATTAGCATTCTCTGAATGTGTTTGTACATACACACACACACACACATTCTCAGAATATATGTATACATTCACACACTCCCAATGAAAAGTTGTGTGAAAGCTACACAGGAGTACAGAGGCATCTATGTTATCGCTTTTGCTTTTTGATTCATCTTGTGCTATTTTGGTTACTGAGGAAGAGAGGGCATGGAGGAGGTGACTTTAAAAACTAAAAGAACAAGTTTGCCACACAACAGGACAGTCTGTAGGGTCTGTTCTAAGAGGCGACTTTATACGCTTTCCTTCTGGAAGAGATATAAAGGCTTCGGGAAGTAAAATTATTTTTTTAAGAGTCTGCTGGCACATCCCCTCCCCTGCCTGCCACAGTCGTTCTTGCTGTCAAGGTTCAGCAGAGTAATTAGTAGCAACATTCCAAGATGTAAAACGGGATTTGTCATCACAAGCTTGCCAAGATAACAGATTGTACAACTTGAGATGCATTTGCGTTGTTTAAGGAGTTCAGAAAGGTTGGAAGACTGGCTTATAAATAAAGAAGTAGAACCTACTGAAAGACTGGTTCTTCTCTGTTGTTTTCGTGACTGGTCCACAATCTTCTCTCCTAGGGAGGATTTTCCACTGCTCTTTTCCTGTGTGTCCTCTCTGAAGCAGGGTCAATAATTTGTGGTCCAAATGTCAGACTCTCCCCACCCCTGTAAGGGTCATCTCCCTCTAGGGCAATGAGTCCCACACTTTCCTGATCAGAAGAGTCTCCAGGATGCTTGGAAAATATGCAGATTCCTAGGCCACAGGCAGACCTCAGGAGTGAAGCCAGGAACCAGGATGTTTAATAAGAACCCCAGGTGATTCTCATGATCAAGGGGACACCCTGTGGCAGAGGAAGGGTCTCATATACAGGCATGCACCGCATAACGACGTTTCAGTTAACAGCGGACTGCGTATACAATGGCGGTCTCATAAGATTAGTACCATTTAGCCTAGGTGTATAGTAGGCTGCTTTCGTCTAGGTTTGTGGAAGTTCACTCTGTGATGTTCGCACAGTGACGAAATCACCTAATGATGTATTTCTCAGAACATGACCCTGTCGTTAGGTGATGCGTGACTGTGTTGCTCAAAGTGTATTTGTGGAGGACAGGGAGTCTTACCTTTCCTCCACTGCCTAAGTAACTGCTGTTTCTCCAAACTGAGTGTCCCCCCTACACACAGCTCAGAGCCCCCGCCCTCTCCCCCACCCCAACCTACTCATTTTCCTGCTCGGGTCTGAACTCCAAGACTCCCTCCTCAGTGGAAGTAGCTGTCGTCACACTGGGATCAGCGTAACAGGGATGTGAGGAAGGTCACATCTCTTTCCTTTCATGTCTCTCATCCCCCGCCACACCACTTTCACAAGATCAGGCGGATATAACGAAGGTTAGAGTTAGAGGATTGGGAGTCACTGGTGGGATTGTAAAATGAGAGAAAATAATTTACGCTGTGTACCAATAAGACTAGTCTCACAATCCAAAGGAAAACAATAGCACAACTAGAAAATGAAACATTCTCAAGGAGAAACGCCAGTTTCTAGACTTGCCGCCCTGCCTGAGGTCTGCCTTTCTTTGTTCGAAAGGCTCCCACTTCAAACCAATGCCAGGTCCCGCTCTCCTTTAGAAAGTCCTCTAGGACCCATCCCAATTGGTACAACACCCAGAACCCAAGCCTTCAGTGCAGCATTTCCCAGAGCCTGAGTGACTCAGGATAGAGGGGGGGTGTGCAAAGTCGGGCGTTTGGGTGGGTGCTGAGGGGAGGCTGTAGTGGAAGAGTCCAAGGGAATCTCCGGGCCTCCCAGGGCCAGCTCTCTGCAGAGCTTCTCCACGCATGAGAGGACAGCTGTGCTTCTCTTTCTTCCCAGCTATCCAGTGGGCGGCTCGTGTAATCCCACATGTGTCTGTGTATGTGTGCACACACACAGACACACAAAAACCTGCAAGCATACACCCTCTTTCACACACACATGCATCTCCCAAGAACAAACAACAATTCTCGGTGTTCAAAGACAACTCCTCAATTTTCAAAGGTCACTTAGCTCAATGTAACCCTGCCTTCAATGGTGAGCAGAGCACACTAGTCGCCGTTGCTCATTCTTCTAGTATTCAAAACCTGCCTAAATATCTCCAATTTGTAAGAGACAATTCATTCTAATACTCCTTTTTTATTGCAACAGAGCTCACCGATCCCTTAGTCACATCTGACTATCCAGAGACCACAGCAAACCATTGCCAGTGCTGACTGCTTTTCTTTATCTTAGATGAGATCCATTCTGAGGGACGGTGTGTGCCACCCTGCACACTCTAAGTAGGTGTTATTGTCATCAGGCATTTACTAAATAAATAAGTCTCATGTCACCAGATATAGTAAACAGATATAGTTCCTGCCCATGTGAAGCTTATGAGCTAGTAAAGAAGATACCCACAAAATTAAACAAACGATACATATAATTACAATTCGCAATTAGTGCTATAAAGAGAAGAAAATGGTGAAATGATAGACAACAAGGGAAACTCACATAAGATACAGTGGTCGGAGAAGGCCTTTTTGATTAGATTATTATGTAAGTATTGAAGCATATCGGGAAGAGTATTCTCTTAAACGGAACACCATGTACAAAGGCCCTGCGGCAAGAAAGGTCTCAGCTTGCGTGAGCAGAAAATTCAGAGTGCTGGGGTGCAGAGCCTGAAGTTGGAGAGGTGGGCAGGGGAAGACTGTGTAGGGCCTGGGAGGTTTCAATAGCAGTTTGGGTTTTATTCTGAGTGCAATGAGAATCTGTTGAAAAATCTTCAGCAGAGAAGTTAAAATAATTGAATTTATGTTTAAGAGAGATTGCTCTAAGTGCTTTGTGGAAAACAGACCAGAGATGGACAAAAAGTCCTATTCAGATCCACCCTGGGTGGGGCATGGGAGTGGGTGGAGAGTTGTTCTCCCTGCTGCAAATATCTGCTCATCTTCTAGCCATGGAAACGGTCTTAGCTTAGAATGAGCGTTACCACACGACTCCCTCCTCCACCGTTTCTACCACACACTCACCTCCCTCCCTCCCTCCCTCTCTTTCTCTCTCTGTCTCTCTCTCTCTCTCTCACACACACACACACACACACACACACACACTCTACTCACCTCAGATTATTTGGGCGCTGTTTAAAGTCTTTTGATCATTTTCGGTCCATGTAACTCTTACTCCAGCATTTTTGACATAATGTGTGACTAATGTTCCAATCAAACTCTAATACTGCCGTAAAGTTGAAGCCTTTAAATTTTACTCCTTTGATAATTCCATTCCCGAAAAAGCTATCATTCTTTATGCACTATATGGCCTTTTCCTTATGATCCTAGCTTCCTGTGAAGGGTTGAGATTTTGCAGTAGTTTCACCTCAGTTATCTGCTGCCCTGTTGAACTCACTCTCCATCCACAGAACACAGGATTTGGGTTCAAACAGAGCGAGGTTCAAATCCCAAGGCCCTAAATCTTACCCCTGTGACCTTAGGCAACCTCTCTGAGCCTCCGGATCTGAGTAACCTGAAGAGGGTAGTAACTTCCTTACAGGTTGTGAGGATCAAGTAGAAATTGTGTGTAAACTGTCTAAAGCCACATAGCTTAATATGTGGTGAGGAGCGGTGTCTATGCAAGTATCCAGCAGACATCATTTAGAACTTTTGGCTTCTGAAGGTTCAAATTTTCCCATTTTTTCTGCCTACTATTTACTCTCCTTGCCATCATGAATTTAATTCCTCCTCCATTCTTTTTTCCACACCCCTAACTTCATCTCTCAGGTATGGCCTGAGAGATGGCCCTACCTGTTCTGGTGTGGACTTCTTGCTCTCTTCCTATTCCCTGTGGAAGTCTCCCCATGGCCTCAGCGAAGACGCATGACGGGGAGAACTCGTGCAGCGCCCAGGGAAGGGTTATTCCAGCCCAGCTCCTTCCCAGGGACTGTGGGTGTTGGGAACAGAGTCCCTTAGCATAATGCAAGCAGTAATGGTAGAGAGACAGGTCAAGAACAGACTGCTGTGAGCACCCTCTGACTGATGAAGCATAACGACCATGCTGGAAGGATTTGGAGTTACAGTCCAACTTGAAATCATCCCAGGGATGAGACGGTGCCTGGAGAAGACAGGCAACATCGAGGCCTCTGGGTATTGGCCCAGAGCATCCAGAGCTGGCCCAAGTAGCCAGCACCTCTGCACCACCAGGATGTGCTGTTCAGCTGCACAGCATGATGTTCATTCCCAAACTGTCTTCACTGCCTTATATTTAGAGTAGTCCTTGCATTGCTCATCTCTGGCATTCAAGAATGTAAACTGATTGACAGGTTGTTGCACATTGCTACTTACAGATTACCACATTTCAAAAAAGTAGTTTGTAGTTTCTTTATAACAAAATCCACTCAACCCCAGAATTGTGGTAACTTTGATAATTCAGAAGCTAATTCAAGATCTCCCAGTGACCCAGACTTATCATTATCAACATCATTTTTTCCTTTATATGCATAAATGTCAATCCAGAGGGAGTTCTGGTTACTAAAACACCAAATTAATTTACTATAACATGAGTTGTAATAACATTAAAAGCATACTTACTGCAAGTAATAAAAGCAAACTGGTTTAGCTCAAGACCATTATTCAAGAAAAAATAATAATAATGATAAATAATATTAATTGCCAACACTTCTATAGTTGTTATTGTGTCAGATACTCTTTTAAAGCACTTTACATACACGCTCATAACTCTCCATGAGGTTGGTCCTATCGTTATCCCCATTTTACAGATGAGGAAACTGGGGATGGTCACAAAGCTAGTGAGTGGCAGAATCAGAGCTCCAACCCCCAAAACCCGGCTTTAAGTTCTGCCACTTAACTGTTATGCTTTACTCCTCCCTTCCTTTCATTAAGAAATAGTCATTTTTAGTAGATATATTTGGGACAATGCTTACAAAGGTAGGTTAAGTAATAAATACATAACCCAATATTAAACTTGGTAATACGTCCCAGGCCAGTATAAACATGGACTTGCCGAAATGAAGAAACGAGCATACGCTATTGCTCTCTCATCTAACTGTGGATACAGGTCCCACACAGCCTCATTCCTCATCGACATGCCTGAGGCTGAAGCTGTAAATACTGAGCAAGGGCCCTCCTTCCAGAATGTAGACACGGAGACATCTCAGCTCCACAGGCAGCCTGGGAGTATGGGGACACACATGGAAGATACACATGGAGCCCCTCCTTGGGGCAGATTCATTTCTGATGGAAAGAAGTATTGTTCATTCATTTAGTAAATATTTATTGACCACCTATTATATGCCAGGCATTGCTCTTTGCTCTTGAGACTGAACAGTAAGCAAAGCAGACAAAAATCCTTCAACAAGTTTACATGCTACTGGAGGAGACAGCTAATAAGACAAATAAGTACAATGTACAGTAGGTTGAATGATTTAAGTGCATAGGAGAATAAATACAGTAGGGAAAGGGGGTAGAAAGAATTGAGTGTAACTGAAAGTTTAGATGAATGGAAAGGGAG